CTCTGACTGAGTCCGGCAGTCTCCTCTTCCCTTTTCTCCAGCAGTCGGATTCCCTTTGACGTCATCAAGTACAATGCAGGGTTCATAGCCCTGTACTGAACGTCAGGACGCCAAGGAACAGTCCACTGCTGGAGTGTACAAAAGCATCAGCTGTCGAGGGAGCAGAGTATCGGGGCTTGCTATTCCAAGCCCCTAGCCCTAACCTTTGCAGTACAGGGGCAGACCCACAACAATTGAGGAGTTTTACTTTTCTGGAATTTGGCTTTAAATACATAACAAATACACACCATGTTTGTGTCCTTAAGTGATTTCATGACATTCTACAAATTGATGTTTTTTTTTCTGAAATAAAAGCCATGGTCGCAGTCCTGCACAGCGATCTGAATTGTGCATGGTTGCATAATAATGGACAATTTCTCGAATCCTTTTCAGGAAATGTTGTTTTCACCCTTTTTCTGCTGACCTCATATCACCCACTTCCGGTCTACATACACGTGCTCCAACATCAGCTGCACACTTCTTATAGTGACAATGGTGGACCATACCTGTGTAATATGGGTCTGCGCAGCAACTTGTCATTTCTATCAGGCGGAAAGTGACATGGTGACAATGCAGGAACATATTTGGGGGATAGTTGTCACCCCATACAGGAAGTGGCTAAAGAACAACCTTCATGGCAGGATCACCAAATTTTTTTTTAATGAAAGTTACTGATTGAAAGATAGTAAAATAATTTTTTTTAAAATAATATTAATATGTTAAAGTCTATATATTTTTCTAGTGGTTAGGTTTACATCTACTTTAACCATATGCTGTTCTATGCACAACCACATACCAACCCAATCAACTAAATGTAGAATAACACAGCCTGAATATACTGTTATGAAAACAACTGCTCAGGTCATACAAAAGTGCATTGTTCTCATCTTCTAGGTGCAGCAAAGGAGTTTACATTGGACAAAAGCATTGTGAACTCTACGGAATGAGGATCATGTGCGGGAGAAAGAGTTAATACAACATGATACAGGCACCCCCCGCTTTAAGACACAGGATTGCATAATCCTCTGACAGCATTCCTTAGCTTGGCTCTGGGAAGGGAAAGGGTTAATGCAATGTCCTTCCTGAACTTCTAAATGGTTATATAGAATAATAGTATAACTTTATAAAAGGTTAGTGATAACCCCCAAAGAACACTTACTTGAGGAAATACCTCTGGCCGGTGTGGGTGAATGCCATCTCCCAACCGGGTGGCAGGGGCAGTTCATCTGTCACATCATAGGACTGTTGGCGCAGGTGAGCGTGCTGCTGAGCTGGACTGGGAACGGTCCCAGAACCAGCACCTAGCTGCAAGGAAGCTGGAGACGAATGGGATCGGACATGCTGAATCCCCAGCCTGGGGGGATGGCTGCCAGAGTCCGTGCTAGACTGCCTGGAGTGGGACCCTGAATCCGGCTCCTTGAAAAACGACTCCGGCAAGATCTTCTTCCTCCAAGAGTTCGGCTTCGGGTTCATGACAGAGTTGAAGAGATTCTCCAAGTCCGTGTCCAGGTCCTGGGTGACGTGGATGACTTGCTGCCCCGGTGGAGGGAGACCTGGATTCTGGTTCATCCTGGCAGAACCAACGACCACAACAATATCCAACTCTGATAAACGCTGGAGATTCCTGGAACTTCTACACTTCTGACACACCGGAGAGGAAGGGGCGGCCTAGATTTCCTAATGCAAGGAGATGGGAAGTCACAGATCCCAGAAAAGTGCAGAAACTTTTCGCTGACACAGTTAGAATGTGGTGAAAGTTCCAATAAAGTAGGGAAGCATTGTGAGGTCTCTTCTCGGTGACCTGAATCAGCCTTCACTGAACTAAGAAATGGCCAAGCCAGCCTCTAGTTGTTCTGCTGGGATTTGAGGATCTGGATGTCCCCAACAAAGTAAGAAAATGTCAACTCACAGGACAGGGAGAGGCGTCTCTGGGTAGAAACTTTTCTTCCTTCATCTGAATAATGTATGAGCTGCAATCAGTGCCCTGCCCTTCTGAACGTCCTCCCCCAGACCGGGACTTTACCTTACAGGGCGAGAGCCTGAGGCCTTCACTCCCACCTCCAGTTCTGGTTACAAGTGTGGGGGAAATGTGCTGGAGTCTGCTTGCTGATCACTTTCTGAACCAGTTTCACCCACAGGCAAAGCAAAACACAGGCAGCTCTCTGTCATTACAGGAGAGGATAGGGAATGCAGCTTGTAACGCCATGTTTACGTCATGTAGAGTCTTTCAACTTTCAACTCTGAGAGTTTGGAGTTTACGTGATTCCCTTTATTGGCTGACTTAAGTTAATAAAGATGTAGGCTTCAGGAAAACTTGGATTTCTTTGTCAGGCTTTATACATTTCCCGCTTTCAACTCTAGTATAGACACATCATTTAATATTCTGTGAGATACTATTGATATCTCTTTAACATTCAAAGTAAAAACAATGTTACCCACTCAGGGCTCATTCATATGGGTGCTCAGCCCTGGGCTATGGGAAATAACAGAATTAGCTTCAATTATCGCCTGTGAACAAACTATAAATGTGCAAATTCAATATAGAAAAAAATGACATTTTTTTCTTCATATAAAACTCTTATAAAATTATGATAAAAAAACCCATGTCTGTGTCCATTATTAAATGGACATAAATAACAAACAAAAACACAAATAAATACAAAATAATAAATGAAAAAGTCCAATATTTTTTGTTAAAACTGTTATTTATGGACTTTAAAAAAATAATGGACACAAACATGGATTTTTTTAAATAATAATTTTATTTTAGGAGCATGGTCAGCATAGTGGCTAAATAGTTAGCACTTCTGCCTGGCAGTACTAGGGTCGTTGGTTCGAATCCCAGCCACGGCACCACCTGCCTGGAGTTTTGCATGTTCTCCCTGTGTCTGGATGGGTTTCCTCCGGGTGCTCCGGTTTCCTCCCACACTCCAAAGACATGCTGGTAAGTTAATTAGATCCTGTTTAAATTGGCCCTAGTATGTGTATGTATGAATGTAAGTTAGGGACCTTAGATTGTACGCCCCTTGAGGGTTAGGTACTGATGTGAATGTGCAATATATATGTAAAGCACTGCGTAAATTGACAGCGCTATATAAGTACCTGAAATAAATAATACATTTTCTTCTATATTGAATTTGTATGTATATAGTTTGTTCACAGGTGATAATTGAAGATAGCATTGCTATTTGCACTCATACTGAAATAAACTGTTTTCTTTTGAAACAGCTGCTGCACTGAAAAATAGGATTTCCGTGGTGCAGTATTTTTATTGGGAAGAGCTGTTTGCTTAGGCAGCCCATACATTAGTCATTTTTTTTGTTCAACCAGTGGGTTGAACAAAAAAAATGTCCTGATTCCTCCATCCACACATTCCATGTACTCTTCCCGCTGAGTTACTGTGTTCTGACAGCCGGAAGACTTCCCCGCTCTCAGAATACACTGACCAGTTATGTCATCTGTAGCCGGCAGCACTGATCGATCATGCATAAGAAAACTTAATCACGCTTGTCACATTACCATGAATATGAAACCACTCCTAAGAAACCATATATAATGTCCCATTAGGTAAAGTGCAATTCTTCAAATGAGACCAATCCTATAATTCCAACATAATGTCCCAATATGTGCAAAAAGTGTCAGTACTTACATAAAGCACTCCTAAAACCAAATATAATGTCCCATTAAGTAATTCTTCAGCTGAAACCAGTCCTGGAATTCCTAATTAATATTCCAATAAGTGCAAAAAAGTGCCGGTGCTTGGATAATAATAAAGTGCTCCAATGCCCCATATAGATGTAAACTCACCCTATATTATTGACCATCTATCTCTAGTATGGTCAACAGCGCTTGTGGGGCAAACCCCTTTACCATCCGTTCCGGTGATTCTTTTGAAACCGTGCAGCTTGGGAAGGCAAGTATTCTCAAAAAAGAAGAGAGGGTCCCATGGCGTAAAACTGCACTTAAATTTTATTAAACATATATAAAAAGTTACACTCACATAAAATGGTGCCTTTTGGACTATTGGCACCCAGTATATTCAGCTTGTGTATAGGTAACAAGATGGCCGCTATCAACGTCTGATGCCAGAACTCCAGATGTGCTCCACCGCTCGGAAACCACGTGTCCGGTCACATATACACAGGTACAGAAGTTCTTCCTAAATCTCATCTTCCTACAAGTGTTTCAGTTTAAGAGTATACGCTCATATATATTTGGATATAAATGTGTATACAAGTAAATCGTTATACTCAAACATACCATTTTTTTCCCACACAAATGCTGTATTATGATTCTTAACTCAGCTGTGTATTGTCCTATAGATAGCGGTATTAAACCCAAAAGCAAACATTTATTATACTGCAGCTTACCAATTCTTAGATGTGATGTCTGCATTAGTTTTTAGGCTTTCTTTCTTCCATTTTCATCTGGTGATCCAGCCAGCAAGTCTGTTGTTTTTCAACAGAAACACTCTCTCGAAGTTACAGGGATGAGACAGACCATTTAATACTGACAGGGTGCTTACAATGATAATTTTCTATTTCTTTATACAAAACCTTTATCCCAAAATGGAAAAAAAAAGTTTGCTGTAACAGATTATAAAGTATTATCTGGACTTTGGCTTCAACTTGTGAGTGTATCTAAATCTGCTAGTACAGCTAACACTTTCCTCCTCCCAGACTGACAGTACTGCTGTCCAAATGTGCCCCCAGTACCCCTTCATCCAGAGTGGAGGCACTTTAATACAGGAGGTGTGTTACTGGCCAGATCACCAGGTGAAAACAGAGGGGAAAAAAGACTAAAATAAGAAAACTAGCACATCCACCACATCTAATAATTGGTAAGCTGCAATATGTTACATATTTGGTTTTGGGTTTAATACTGCTTTCTGTACCACCTACTTACTAGTTGGGCAAAAGTAATTATGCAGATTCAAAATCCAATAAGCAAGCTGGAAGGCAGAAAAAAAGCATTGCTTAACCACTTCCTGTCCGGCCCATGTACATAAACGGCCGGACGGGTGCAGTGCCGAATCGGGTTGCTGTTTATAAACTGCCCGTATTAACTGCCTGTGCGCGCTCCCTGGGAGCACCGATCGCTGTACGGGACCTCTGTGTGAGGTCCCGATTCATGTGATCACTGATTGGCCAATCAGTGATCACATGAATAGTAGTAAGCAAGATGCCACTTCCTGACATCATTGCTTACTACTAGTGAAATCTGTGAATGATCACAGAGGTCACATGGTACAAGGCTATTCAGATCAGCCTTGTACCAAGGCTTTGTGACAAGCTGTGACCAATCACAGCTCTCACAGTATTTCTCAATGGCTGCAAGAATGCAGCCAGAGAGGAGAAATGATTGCTTTTACAGCCTTTATGAGTGTACAAGCAATCAGTGTAAAAAAAGAAAACAAATCTTCATCACCCCCCACAAGTAGTACAGTGTCACTATGGTGACACTGTACTTCTAGGGTGATGGTATGTTAAAAAAAAAAAAACATAAATAATAATATAAAAAAATAAAATAAAAATGTAAAAAAATGTTTTGAAAAATTATAATTTTTGGTTATAAACTAATTTGAGTTATTTTTTTTTTTTTAAAAAAAATATAGATGAATACACTTTGGTGAATATTTATGAAGAAAGATTATTTATTTGCAAAATTCTATAAGAAAAACACTTTTTTTCAAAATGTTTGGAGTTTTTCATTTATATAGCATAACAATAAAAATCCCAGTGGTGAATAAATACCACCAAAATAAAGTTTTATCTGTCTCAAAAAAATGCTAAAAAATTCATATGGGTACAGTGTTGCATGACCGCACAATTGTCATTCAAAGTGTGATAGCACTGAAAGCTGAAAAGTAGCCTGGACTCGAAGGGGGTGAAAGTGTCCGGACTTGAAGTGGTTAACCTGAAAAAACACGTCACCTGCAAGATAGAGGGTTGTAAATCACAAGACTGGCTGTACAGAATTTTCAATCTCTTAGCAGGTAAAATTGTATATGTAAACCTTTGAGGGCTGCCACTGATGGAAAATGCTACTTCCCTGGCTATGTCTAACTATAGTTCATCTAAGGCCTCATGCACACAGCCATATGAGGCCATACAACATAAACTGTGGGCATATTTCTACATCCAGGAGACACAGCTGCAGAGTACAACTGCCCTTACTAATAAATGACTGTACACTTGCATAATAAATGAAGAGAGATGTCAGAATCTTTACACTTGTTCTGGGTTAGTAAAACAGAAAGCAATGGCATGACAGCAGGGCAACGAGAATTTTCAGAAGAAAGTTCAGCTATATTTTCCCATGATAGGGTCCTATTATGACACTGTGGGATTTGGTGGGTAGTTGTTAGAGACTGACATACATGATGAGAAGAGCACAAGGGGAGAGTCTTATCTGTGGAGAGTTCTTCATTCAAGTCCGATGAGCAAACCATGGGAGGGGAGGTAATACAGGAAGCTGCTGAGTTGCAGGGTCCAAATAGTGGTGTCACCCTCTATCTGGGTCATATGAATAACAGAAGCGGATGAGCAGGTTTAGAAGTATATTGACAGCATATGTATTCCTGTGATGTATTTAGCCATTTTTGCAAATTTTTTCTTTTAAAGCAAAAAGCCGTTTCAGATCTGTACTGTAGTTTTGAAATAGGTAACAAATTAGAGGGCAAAAGTTTCCTAAATCCAACATGGTGGCCTCATGGAAACAGTAACATAAGTAATAAAGTCTAATCTTGAAGACAGATATCTGACAATAGGAAGGACGGCAGTCATCCTAATCACATCAACCCTTTATACATCACACCTACACCTTCAGATGGCTCCCTAGGCCTCATATCTATACGATTCCTCCTTTTTCTTCTTCTTCATCGCTCACACTGAGGTCTATATTTGAGCACGCAGGTCTGGTAATATTTGTTACTATTACTAAGTCAGTATTGGATAATAGGAACGCTTAATCCTCAGTGGAGCATTATACTGTAAGCATCTAGACTTGGGTCTAGACAGATTGGCAATGCTTGCAGATATCCTGCCTACTTCCAGTAATCTATTGGTGTAAACTAACATCATCTAGTCCTCCGAACACACCAGGTGCTGGTTTACTTTGTCACAAGGAGAACCCAACAAGTATTTGGCCAGATTTTTTAGAAGGACATTTTACCCTCCAAATATTAAGGTTTCATGCACAGAGATATTTTACAGGCATCTTCTATGCCTTCGAATAATTTCCTGGTGTTTTCCCATGCTTGAGGAGCCACATGTGTCATGTATAGCCTGCCATAAAAGTGAATGGTTGTATGCAGCCATGCTCTTGTAAACACCAATGCATTCATTGTTTGCACCAGTGTTCACCCACGTATGTGAATCCAATGTATTTTTCAAATGTGCTAGGAAAATACATTGGATACACATGTGCTGGTAAACACCAATGCAAAGAAGTATTGGCATTTGCAAGAGAATGATCACATACAGTCATTCACTTGTATGGCACATGCGGCTCCATGGGCATGGGAAAACACCAAGAAATTACTCTAGGCATATGCACTCACCGGCCACTTTATTAGGTACACCTGTTCAATGGTAACACAAATTGCTAATCAGCCAATCACATGGCAGCAACTCAATGCATTTAGGCCTCTTGATGTACTGAAGACGACTTGCTGAAGTTCAAACTGAGCATCAGAATGGGGAAGAAAGGGGATTTAATTGTCTTTGAACGTGGTATGGTTGTTGGTGCCAAAGGGGCTGGTCTGAGTATCTCAAAAACTGCTGATCTACCGGGATTTTCACACACAACCATCTCTAAGGTATACAGAGAGTGGTCCGAAAATGAAAAAATATCCAGTGAGCTGCAGTTGTGTGGATGAAAATGACTTGTTGATGTCAGAGGAGAATGGGCAGACTGGTATGAGATGATAGAAAGGCAACAGTAGCTCATGTCAATATGGGCCAAAATCTCCGAGGAATGTTTCCAACACCTTGTTGAATCTATGCCACGAAGAATTAAGGCAAAAGGGGGTCCAACCCGGTACTAGCAGGGCGTACCTAATAAAGTGGCCGGTGAGTGTAAAATACCTGTAAAATCTCTTTGTGCATTAATTCTTAAAGTAGATATCCAGCTTACACTTAGCTAACATTAAAACTGTCTCCTCTACCCTTATAATACCCATGCCAACTAACCTGTATATGAAAGATGTGTTCTCAGGCCATTCTGGTCCAGTCACATGATCCCGCTCCTCTGGGCTAGCCAGGGCAGCTTCAGGGGAGAGAAGGGAGCAACGACAATGGATGGGCCATACTATGCCTATGGGTGACGTCACCGATCCAGTTGAGATGATGTGACTGGACCAGAGCGGTTTGCAAAACAGCTGTGCGTTTTTGCGTGTTGCGAGAAAGCGTGCAATTATGCGTGCATTCCTGCAACAAACAAAAGTTAACCTAGCCTAATGCATACAAGTTTTGTCCCTCCCCAGCCTGTGATTTGAGAGTGAAAGGAGAAGCAGCAGACTGATGAGCCCATCTTTCTGTTACTCTGTTTTCTCCTCCTGATTTTTATGGTATGCTAATTATGTTTGTATCTGTTCACAACCTTCTACAAAGCAGTCCTAACTTTTTTTTAAGATTCAGATCTGTTGGTTGGTTTTCTGAAGCATGGTCAGAGTCTTGCACTGCAATCTCATATGTCTATGGCTGTCCAATATTGTGGCATTTTATAAATAAATGCATAACATGAAGTATGTACTGTAGTTGCATGGAGTCAACATGAAATGTATGTGTGTCATTAAAAGTTGATAGAAGCAATCCATACAACAGTTTACACAGCTAAAGCCTACAAATAAAAACTGATATACCTGGGTTATGTGCACAGCTGTAACCAGTGAAACATATCCATACAGAATGTATATAGCTTTCCAGATCAGACTAATATACTAATAATAACCATATACTGTTCAACTTAGAGCCACACAAAAAAATGCAGTTGATCCTGCCAGAAAGCCGACGCTGTCTTGTGAACTCACCACTATTATCTCAAATATTGTTATCAGGAAGTGTGTTAGGACTGCAGAACACCTCCTCTCATATTATGGAGATGGGGAGAAGGGGAGGTGTTCTGTAATCCTAGCATACTTGCTGTCCTAGAGTGACAAAGTCATAGGGTACTTCTCCATAATGGGAGGGCATTGTCACACTAAGACAAGAAGTGTGTTACTGGCAGGATCTATTAACAGTACAAAAAATGGCCACTGCCCCAACCTACAACTGGCCTTCGAGGATCTGGTAACACCCTTTCCTATCCCAAGGTGACAATGCTGCTTCTCCATTGATACACCACCGTGAAGAAATATTATCACCCTTATGCAGGCCATACATGGGTTGAATTCCGAACAAATTTTCTTTAGAAAATCAGAAATTTTGTGCATTTTGTAATCCGTTGGTACCACCATTGATTTCGAAATTCGACCAACCAACCAATTTCATCTCATGTTGCTACAGAAAAGAATTTTCATGGCCAAGAATTTTCTTTTCTTTCCAGGTCACAGCCCATGCTCGCTTCTGTTTTCAATTACATTTCTTGCATGATTCTTCCATCATTGATTAGAAATTAGTTCGTTTTTAAAAAAATTTCCAACATGCTCGATCACTCAATATGGTTGCTCAAAAATTGGCCGTTGCAGCAGCCCACTAATGGTGCAAAATTTGAACAAAAATGCTCAGAAAAGATTTTCAAAAGAAAATTCTTTCAGAATTCGACCCATGCGTGGCCGGCTTAAGTCTGCATTCACATTTAGCATGTTGTGAATGCGTGTAGGATCATGCCGCACATGTGCACGCTTTTTGAATGTATTTGCAGCACATGTGTAGTGCAGCCCATTCATTTCAATTGGCTGCCTTATGCGGGACAAGTGCTGCAAAGTAGCTCATGCACTTTTTGAGCATTGAGTTTTGCATGTTTTTTAACTACACGTTTTGCTGCATTTGGGGTGCCATTAACAATGAACGACAATACAAACACAACATGCATTTTTCATGTGTTTCACAAACAAGCGCAAACTTGTGAGATTTTGTGCCTGTTCCTGAAACACTAAAGTGTGAATGCAGGCTAAGGCAGTTATTACTGGCAGGATCACCAGGTGAAACAAAAAAAAAAAGCCTGAAAAAGAAAACGAATGAAACTATCACATCTAAAGAATGTTACATTTTTGTTCATGGGTTTAAACACTTTAAATTAGATATCCACAACACGATATAACCAATGTGAATATACTGTTATGAAAACACCTGTCCAAGCCATAGAATAGTGCA